CCTCTGGAGCTGCTGTGCCATGGTGTAGAGGGGCTCTCGCCTGCAGCCTGGGCTGAGGAGCCGGTGGGGGCAGAGGAGGACACGGGATCGCCACAGCAGCACCGGTGCGGCCAGGAGCCTGAGGAACAAGAGGAAGTTCTCCGCAGCGGTTCCCCAAAGGCAGAGCAGGCCAGTGCTGGGACGCCGAGCCAGGCCAGCCCAGGCGCCGAGGAGAGCTGGGACGCGCTGTTCAACGACGACGGGGACTGCCTGGACCCGCGCCTGCTGGAGGAGGTATGTTCTGCGAGCTGGCGGCCACGGGGGTTTGCAGGGACGGTGGCTGCTGCCTGCTGGGATGCGGGGACAGGGGTCCATGGGGGTCAGCTGTCCCTGCGTCCTCTGGGGTAGGTCCATGGGGGGGTGGGCTGCACCAGGGGCATGTGGCCCGCCTGGCTGCACTGCGCTGCCTGCTGCGGTGCCGAAACGCCAGGGACCTCCACCTTCCCCCCCCCGAGCTGGTTCCCATCCAGTCCTGTGGTGCCGGTGAAGGCTGGGGGAGATCTTCCCTCTATAGTATATAAAGCGCAGCTGCCAAAACACGCTCCAGCACCGTAAACTGCAACTGCACCCTCGTGAAACCGGGGCTGGTGATAAAGAAACGGGCTGAGACGTATGGGTTCCCGTTGAAATAGCAACGGGAAGTTTCCTCGAAACTACAGCTTCTTAATCAGCTGTGGCTCATTACCATCCCCTCCTGCACTCATGCGGCTGAATTTACTACAATTAGTGCTGGGACCTACGTTGTTTTCCTGCCGTTTGCGAGGAAAGCTCGGTTTCTGCAGCGAGGCTGGATATCCCTTATTGCATATTAAATCAGTAGCGTCAAGCTGGTAATTTTCCAAATGACATTAATGTGCCCAAAGTAACAAACAGTGCTAATATTGTTACAGCCAGCGTCCGTCCACCCTGGGCTGGAAGCAGGGTGTGAAGTGGCGGGTGGTGCCTGATAACAGCTCCTGGGAAGGGATGAGATTAACTCAAGAGCATCTTTACTGAGCAGCAGTGGTACCCACCTGGTCCGTGGGGCCGTGCTCGGGCTGGTGTGCCCTCGCCAAACCTGTTGTGGGGCTGGGACAGGGTGTGGGGCACACAGGGCTCACCTCCGGCGCTGCTCGGAGGGCGATGTGGAAGAGCTTTGGGTACCCCCATCCCTGCCTGGCTGTGCTCCCCCCAGCCCCAGTCCACTGCTCTCCAGCCAGGAGGTTGTGCTGAGTGCTGGTGCGAGGGGGACGGTGCTGCTGCTCCGATGGCAGCTGGTGGACGTGGCGATGGCACTGGTGTTCCGTGGGCTGGCACGGGGGGCATGGCTTTGTCCTCGGACACAGCGGAGTGGCTGCCTGGCCCCACCGGGGAGGCAGGTCCAGGAAGGGCCCATGTTATGCTTGAGCCATAGGATGCTGCAGGCAAGGTTGTGCCGTGCAGCACCGGTGCTGTGAGCCGCTCCGGAGCATCTGCATTAGCTCCCCCATGCACAAGCTCTGAGCAAAGTTTGAGCTTTCCAGGAAGCTTCCCAAAATGGGTGAATAAGAACCTGGAAAAGGGATTTATCAATGAGAAGTCCCCATCTTCACCCCCCTGCAGATTGCCATACTGAGCCTGGTGCTTCCCAAGCCCTTCGAGCTCTCAGCAGGCAGGTGCAGACGTGGCTGCTCAGGGAGGGTGCAGGCTCTCAGGAAGATGGAGCTGTTGTTAATTAACAAAAAGGACAAGAAAATTAGTAGCGTTCTTCCTCGTAACCGAATCCTTATGCAGTGCGGATAGCCGGCAGAGAGCAAGATTTATGACGTTCTGTGTGGAGGAGAGATTTCTGATAGGGGACAGCTCTTTAATCTAGCAGGAAAAAACACCGTAGTGAGATCCATTGGCTGGAAGCTGAAACCAGACAAATTCAGAGTAGAAATCAGTTTGAACGCAGAGGGTAATTAAACACTGCGACCATTTCCTTGCAGGCTCGGTGGACTCTCCATCAGCCGGCACTGTGGGGTGGGGACCACGGTGCGTGCGTGCCAGGGACCGCGGTGCATGCGTGCCGGTGCACGCCTCCCCTCCAGCTCTGGATGTGCGCTCTCGGTGAGCGAGCGGGAGCGTAAGCGAGCGGCCACGGACCCTTCTAACGTGCTCCGGCGAGGATGCATCATTAGGGAGCAGCAAGGCATGATGGACAGGCTTCGTTTCCTGCAGCGTCCTGCCTCTGCTGTCTGTCCGTCTGTCCGTCAGTGGACGTTTCCCAGTGCCGGGTGCCTGCCAGGGCTGGGGGCTCACATTCCCTGCCCTGCCCCATGGCTGGGGGGCTGTGGGCACCCTGCATGGCAGGGCTGGCAGTGCCGGGGGGGTACCTGTTGAGCCGTGCCTGCCGCGTGGCTGAGCCCGGCTGCCAGACGGCTCCTGTCCTTGCTGCCCCGCCACACTCGCTGATTTGTGAAGGTCAAGGACCGCTCCGGCACTCGGTGCTCCCGCTCTCTAATCATCTTCCCGGTGCCTGGCACTACCCGAGTGCTCTGCTCCCTCAAGCGGCACCGCAGGGCTTCATCCTGCAGGGGGATGGGTCCTTCGTGTCCCCCCGAGCGGGCAGGGGGTGCTGGGTGCGTGTGCTGCCCTGCGCGGGGTGTGCTCGGTCGGTGGGTGATGGTGGTGGGGCAGGCGGCTCTGCCGGCAGCGCGAGCCTGTCCCGTGAGCTCCATAACTCAGCTCGCCCCTCCGCCAGCATGCAGCCGCCCTGGCAGCACCCCCTTACCTGCCGTGAATCCATCTTCCCCATAAAATTGTCGGAATGAGCACTTTTTATTGACTGAGCTGGCTGGGATTTATGGACTCTAACCTTCCAGCCGTGGTGTGCTCCGCTACGATCGCTTGGGGGACCGGGCTGGGAAGCAGGCTGAGTTATGTACCCGTTCCCCGGCACCGCGCCAGCCCCACGTTCCGGAGGGGGAAGAGGGGAGCCGGCGGTGGCTTCTGGCTGTGCCTGGCCCGGTGTCGCAGCCAGAGTGGGGCTGTGAATCCCCTCGGCTGCCGGCACGGCCCGATTTGGAAAGTAAAGGTGCAGCCCACCGGCATGGGTGCTGCGGGGCGGAGGGGGGGCAGAGGGCGGCTGCGCCCCCGTGTCGTGGCAGGGGGAGACTGCTGCCCGTGTTTTAAAATGAAGGGTGAAAAACGGGAGAGGTAGAGAAGTGCTACAGCCATCATCTTTTAGAGCTGGAGAAAGTGCCCCGCTGTGAGATACTAAACGTGCACAACCCGTTTAGCTTATCAAGAAGAAGATTGAGAAGGGACTTGATTAGCGTGAGTAAGTGCCGTCACGGGGAGGGCAGCAGGGACCAAGGGCTCTTTAATCCAGTGGAGAGGCAGAACAAGAACTGCCGGCTGGAAAGCGAAGCCAGACAAATTCAAATGAGAAATAAGGCATAAATTTTTAGCCGCGCAGGTGATTAACCACCAGAACTTGCTCCTCAGGGGAGCTCAGGCTTTTCCATCTTGGTGTCTGGGGTGCCGATGGGCTGCTCCGGTGCATGTGCTGCAGCTGGGACATGCCGGGCCTGGTGCTCCTGCATGGCGGGCAGACGTCAGTCTTTCTTCCTGGCCTTGCTGTCCCACTCCTTGTTGTTCCCCAAATATATTTTGGGTAGCACGTCACTGTGGAAGGATGGCTGTGCTTGGGGGTGCATGTGTTGTCTCACCAGTGCCGTTCCCACCCCATCCCCGGCAGGACCGTGCAGTGCGGCAAGCAAAGCGCATGGCGTGAGAGCCCGGGTCAGTAACTCCTAATATCTCAATGCCATGAATCCATCCGCAGTGCTGGGGCAGAGCGCGGGGGCCGGACCAATTCCCAGGGAGCGCTTGCCATGGATCGGGAACTGGCGTGGGGCGGGCGGGCATGGGTTGCTCAGCGCTGTGCCTCTCCCACCCCTGCAGCTCTCGGGGGGTGAGAAGCGCCAGGAGAGCCGGCAGTCACCCCGCTTCGACTACTACGGGGCCGAGCCTGCTGCACCGGACCTCAGCGATGCTGAGCTGCCCCACGTCATTGAGATCTATGATTTCCCCTCGGATTTCCGTACTGAGGACCTGCTGCGTGTCTTCTGCAGCTATCAGTGAGTCTGCCGGCAATGCCCCATCCCCAGTGCTCGGGTCTCCTGCCTGGGCTCTGCTCCGGACCCCTGCCCGCCCGGTGCCAATGCCTTGCTGAGCTTCCTTCTCTCTGGCAGGAAAAAAGGCTTTGATATTAAGTGGGTGGACGATACGCATGCCCTGGGCATCTTCTCCAGCCCTATAACAGGTACTGCTCCCAGTTCAGCTGGGGATGGGCAGAGGGGAGGCATCCCTGCCTCTCCCGCAGCCAGATCCTGGGCATGGGGCTGGCCCCACACGCAGACACCGCCGCTCTCTCCCCGCAGCACGCGATGCCCTCAGCACCAAGCACCTGATGGTGAAGACTCGCCCGCTCTCCCAGGGCACCCGTGCCTCTAAAGCCAAAGCCAGGGCGTACGCTGGTGAGTGATGCTGCCCTTTGCCAGCTTGTGCTGTGGTGTTTGTGCTGCAGCATCTTCATCCCAATAACTGGAGAGGGATGGGGCACCAGCTGCCCTCTCTCTCCTGGGATGCCCCTAGTGATGTCCCCCATCTCTCCTCACCCAGACTACCTGCAGCCAGCCAAGGAGCGCCCCGAAACATCGGCTGCCCTGGCCAGGCGGCTGGTGATCGGCGCCCTGGGGGTACGCAGCAACCAGACGGCAGCCCAGCGAGATGCCGAGCGGAGGAAGCTGCAAGAAGCCCGGGGTGAGATTTGGGTGCATCGGGGGACTGCGGTATGGGGGGACCTTTGCCATGGATGGCATTCTCACAGGGTGCTGGGTGGAAGGGAGATGCATAAGGGTGGGCTCTGGCCACGTTCACGGGGAAGTAGGTAGCTGTGGGGTGATAAGGACGTGGGGTTCACCCTCCTCTTGCCTCCACAGAGAGGAAGCGCCTGGAGAACAAGCAGCGGGAGGATGCCTGGGAGGGCCGGGAGTGAGCCGGGGGGCTGCACCTTACCCCTGCTGGGAGCCCCCCCGCGGTGAGGCACCCGGGCCCCTCTCTGCGGGCAGGCAGGGCACCCTGCACCTCGGAGCAGGGATGGATCCTGCACCGCATCCCAAAGCACTGGGCTGCTCCACCGAAAGGGCTGAGCAGGGTGCGTGCAGGCTGGTGGGTGCCATGCGGATGCTGTCGCCGTCAGGCAGCGCTGCCCATCCTGCCCAGGGCAGGACCCCCGGTGCTGTCTGCTGCGGCGGGGGGCGCCGACGGGGTGGGGGGGGGCCGGGCGCGCAG